CACAAATGGCACTATTTCAAGTAACTTGGATAATTTTTTATTGTTGTTTTCCGAATTATATGGATACAGAAATATATACTATTCTATAACGAAGAAGAATATGCTATAACTATTACAATTCTGTATGTTCTGAATTCATATTTATTCACTGGAATGACGAAAGCAATGTTGACTTCAGTTTAATTTGTAATGAATTGAAGACAGAAGAAATGCATTTTACCTTAAAACACACATCTGTAACAGTATGCGATAGCGAAATCGGAAGTTATCAGTTGCAAGTTTGTTGATAATAGAAGTTGAAAATTATTGAGGAATTTTCTTCAAATGTTTGGCGTGTTCTGTTTCTGAAAGATTTAACAATGTTCTGGAGAGTTTTTTCAAGCTTTTCGGCTTTTTCCTTAGGGAAATTTTGCTTCTTATTTCGTGCAAAGAAAATGGCGACCGACTCTGCCAGTGATTCTGATGGAACTGAATGAAAGCTTGATAAATTAATGTCTGATATTTACAGGCTTCCGCTAGAGGGCGTTCTCGAGCGTTGCGATCTCGAATTCCATAAGTATCCACATTGTTGAAAATTATCGTCTGTTTAATCTTTAAATTTGATCTAGTTCATAGAATTAAATTGCTATGGTAACAGTTTTTTTCTTATTTATTTATTTTCTTTTTTTTTTCTTTTTTTTTTCTTTTCTTTTTTTTTAACTTGTTCGTTCTTTTTTGTGGAGAAGAAACTAAATCGCCTTGAGTTGATATTTGTTTATTTTCGAGCATTAATATATTCACATTTACGCCATTTTATATCTTTGAGCATTTCGAGTATTATTGATGAAGTGAGTATTTTTTATATTTTTACAAATAGAACTGTAAAATAAACCATTCTGTGTGCTGTAATTTGATTATGGAATAATTAAGAACTCAAATATCATTAACTAATTTAGATTCGAATTGCAAAAGGAATACACATATAACACATTCAATCTTAATAAATTCCTCATAAAAAAGAATTTAAATGAATAGTATTTTATTTAAAAACTCTGAATAACGGTCAGTTTAAATGGAAAGCTTATATAACATGTTATAAATAATAGTATTTTAAAAATAAGAACAGCTAAATATATTTACTTACTAAGAAGCAAAATAGTGTTTTCTTCAGAAGTATCACTTCTATTAAGATGATCTTTTTTAATTCTTCTTTATTCAAAAAATATAAAAGGGATA